TCTCTCTCTCTCTCTCTCTCTCTCTCTCTCTCTCTCTCTCTCTCTCTCTCTCTCTCTCTCTCCTCATTGAACCCTATGTTAAATATAGTAATGTTTAAGTATATCGAGAATAGAAATGGTTAGAAGAGAGTGAAAAAGATTTGGTGAGAAAATTAATTACATGAACAGAATTTAGTTGGAAAGTTGCCTACAATTTGGGTGTTGGTTCACATCCACTGAACACTACCAGTGCTTTTAATACTCATTTTATAGTTGAGATCTAGTGCTCAGTTTGTTGTTATCATTACTGCCCTGTGCTATACTTAAGTAATATAGTTGTTGTAAACATTTATTTAATTCATATAATTATAATTTTGTAATATTTTTTTATTTGTTAAATATATTTTTGTTTTGTTTTGCTATTCATTCAGACATTTCCTGCAAAAGGTATGAGAAATTCATTTGTGTTTTGTATTGAAATTCTCTGTTTATATATTAGTAATCATTAAATTGTTTTATATTGGTAAAGATATCATTAATTTTGTTTTTTATTCAAATTAATAATAAATTGTTATTCAATATAAATATATGGATAACTTTCGTCATATTTTCATTTATCTGATTGTGATTTTAGGGGAATTTTTGTGATGTTTTGATTTAAAGCAATATTTTTTTATTAACTGATAATCCATTGAAAAATTTTCCAAAAATTATCACATAATTTGAAACTCAAGCAAAATCTAATCAAACATTTTGATTATCAAACCGATAATAAATTCACAAATTAATAGTTAAATGAAATCTCTGCTAATAATCTCACAAAAAATACATTAAAATATAAGTCATTGAAAATTAATAATAAAAAATATTTAAATATAAATATATCGTTAAAATACACCAAAAAACATTGAAAATACAAAACTTATTTGTGTCACAAGTGTTTCACAAACTATGCCATAGAAAAACATTGAAAGTGTTTTATTATTATTATTATTTATATGAGTTTGTATTGTATTCAATGGCAGTTACATTACAAGTGAATTGAATTACAGGTGAATTGAAAACCTGTTTATAGTGTTTAGTAATTTTTTTGTTGGTCTGTAGTCTCAGTCTCTCCCTGTTATACAATACCAGAAAATTTAATTCCCATAACATGTCATACTATACCCCATACATACCAGTCCTCTGGTGTGTGTGTCTTCACTATCACTCTCTCAACGGATGCTTTCCATTCAATCGAGAGAGAGTCAAGCATCCGCTGTATAAATAATAATTACATAAATATTTATTTATTTTCAAATATACATCTCAATCGATGTGCCCCACGATATACACTGTGATTGCAGTTTATTATAGGGACAGACAGTCTTAAACTGCAATGTAATGCCAAACGAGACCAGGAATTGATTTAAAATGACATTCTTGTGGGACAGGTATTTGTATGGCATTGCAGTTGTTGTCCAATAGTTTGTGTCCAAAAAACTCAATCATTAATTTACAATGAATAGCATTTTCATGTTGGGCATAAACAAAATGTTGGTAATTTTTCCCACAGAGATTGTATCCTGTATTTCTATTAACAAAATATATAACTTATCGATGTTTTTAATTAAATTTTTACTGAATTTTTGTTTTATTTGTATTTTTTAAATTGTAATTAAAATATTTCATTATTAATATAAATATAATTGATATTTTAAATTAATAACTATAATCGTAGTTTAATAGTTAATAATTAAATATTTATTTAATAAAAGAAAATTAATTAAGTTATAACCAAGAATTTAAACAAAAATTTTCCCTCAATTAATGTCTACAAATAATATAAGATATTATTATTATAAAAATTAAATACAAAACTTAATATAAAAATATTGATTGTATGCAAACCTTGAACATTATATTATACTGTAATTGCAATTATAATTTGCAAATTTATTTCTATTTAAAATTCAAAACAATTTTAATATATACTTAACGTTTGAATCATAAGAAAGTTATTTGCTATTTGAAAGTAATTGCTAATTATTTTATACACCATTTGCACCAATCCTTTTGTAATTACAGTAATTTCCTACAAACCTGTGTTGTGTTATGGAAAATATTATAATATATAAATTGCTGATGGTACTCAATTAGTGGATAACTTAATGTTAAATGTAAATTAGCCTTTTGTTTATATTGTAAACTTTACAACAATTATAGTATATTTCGATTCATATTTCATTATTTGTAATGAAATTAAATATATCTATCACTAGATTATTATGGAAATAATTATAAATGTTTACATAAAGTGTTTACTTATGTTTATAAAAAACTAAAATTTAATTGAAATTAATTTCAAACTATAAAATCATGTTTAATGAATAGCAGAGCAAACATTTTTCGCTGATTAGTCGCCTGTAAATCGTTATCGCATTTATTTTATGCAAATTATTCATCAAAATTTCTATTAAATTTAACAGTAATTTAAAACATGACATCAAATGAAAATGTTTTCATTTAATGTTTCCGACTATCAATCAGTAGATATGAAATTATTTCAAATTAAAACATTTTCGTTTCGTATATAACATAAAGTTGTGATAACTATTAACACAAAATTATTATATCTATATTTACAGACATTTATTTCTTGGTTAACACATTAGCAAACAAGTGCTACTAAACAAACCAAAACCAACGATGCCGTTCACCTGTACCGATATCTGCAAGATCATTTTAGCCATTATTCTGCCACCATTGGTATGTAAAACTTGCATGTATAACAAATGCCAATTCCCATAGCATTAACATGCAATTATAGCGCATCCCATTTTCCCATTCACTTGACACCAATATTTGGCAAAACTATTTTTGGTGTTAATTAACCATAACTTATAATAAATCACTAATTTATTGCCATTATTTAAATGATCTAGGGCGTGTTGGCGGAAAAAGGCTGTGGTGTGGACCTGCTCATCAACATCGCATTGACCATATTGGGTTTTATACCTGGAATAATACACGCCCTGTATATTATATTCAAATACTGATTACACGATCGCAATTATTATAATATAAATTGTATCAAAAATTGTCTCAAAAACTATTTGACATTTTACACAAAAAACAACAATTTTTTCATTATTTTTTTGTCTGTATTTTCGTTATTATATAACGCTTTAAATATTATATAAATCTTCTATCTTTGTAACAAAATTTTGAACAATTAATTTTCTATTATAATTATTAGCAAAGATTAGGGTGGAGTTTGTTTTTTATTGCCTTATGCTGATTTTACAATGTTAATTGTATTACATTTATAAATTTTACCACTATTTGTTGTGCCGGTGATTTGAATCTTGGTTATATGTTCACAATGATTGCCTAAAAATCATATATTATATCGGAGTTGTAATGAAATTAATTAATTATAGATTATAATGATGTTTGTAATTCATAAATCTCAATACAAACACACATTATTATAATGAAAGTCCTTTTGAGCAAAATAAGCAAAAAATATTATCATACAAAATGTCACTAGATGTTTTATTTGATTACCTTATTTCAATTATTATTTACATTTAACTATATTTACAATTTTATTATATAATTCTCTCTCTCTCTCTCTCATTCACTCAGAAAATGACTTTTAAAATAAACATTGAATTTCATATATAAGTATAGATTGAGTCCAAAGCTCTGCTGTGAATACATATTTACAAATTCAGTATACAATAGATGTCTTCAATTCAAACACAATACACGTTATCAACAGTTTATTTAGTATATTATGAACTAAACAGTTGTAAACATATATCCAATTTAGACAAAAGCATATTTATTGTTAAATGTTTCAATATATGGTAAAATAGGCTTAATATTAATTTGCAACAAAATTATGTAGTGAATAGTTTTGGTGAAAATGTATTTAAATTATTCATTATCTTATAATTGCCTTATTTTTGAAATAATATTTGTTTTGAATATTTAATTCAATAATTTTTGTGATAATAATTGAAATACTTTTTGTGTGTTATTTATTATATAAGAAATAAGTGTTAATTAAATAACAGGGAAATAATTAGAGCATTGATTGAATTATAGTCATGAAAATTGTGTTTTTTAATTTGAAATATAAATTAATTTTTCAAAATTGTTTTTCACTTATTGGAGAAAATGTTATATTATTTGAAATAAAATATAATTTGTTTGCAAATATTTAATACAAGATTTTGTAAAACATTTTAAGATTTATAGCAAAAAAGGGATTATAAGAGAGAAGGAGATTATAATTGAAATAAAAATATCTTCGGTATTAATGTCAAGGCATTTGTGGGGACACAGCGAGAGATTGTGTATTGAATTAACAATTATAATATGTACTAAAAAATAATTTGAAACAAAATTTAAAAAACAACAAAATATTTGCAGACATTGAATGAAATCAGTGTTTGAATGCATTGAATGAACCATAAATACACGGATGATGTGATCATTTCGTTGGAAAATTATTACATGTTAAACAAGTCATCGCAAAAATAATTTTACATTAATGAATTGCTAATCAATAAATACCGTGAAGAATCTGTTCAAACGGTTTATGTAATTAAATAGTTACAAAATAATTGTATTTAATAGGTTTTATATAAATATTTTTATTGTTGACTTTTATGGCATACAATGTTTTTTAGTTTTGAGTGAATTTTGTAATACATTGTATAATATATGAATAAAAATGTTTTTATATTGTATTTCTATATAAGAAACATTTATTTATGTCAAATTCCGATACTTTTTTGGGCAATATTTTATTGTCAAACTTATTGTTATAATTATTAAATGACAATAAATCACAAAAATATGTTTTTATATTTAAAATAATAACAATAATAGACGCATGAATTCGTTTTATCATATTTAACGACTAACTCAGTGGTGTATATATTATTATATTCAGTAAATTTCAATAACAGGTAGAGAGAGAGAGAGAGAGAGAGAGAGAGAGAGAGAATGAAGCATCCGCTGTATAAATAATAATTGCATAAATATTTATTTATTTTCAAATATACATCTCAATGATGTGCCCCACGATATACACTGTGAGTGCAGTTTATTATAGGGACAGACAGTCTTAAAATGCAATGTAATGCCAAACGAGACCAGGAATTGATTTAAAATGACATTCTTGTTGGACAGGTATTTGTATGGCATTGCAGTTGTTGTCCAATAGTTTGTGTCCAAAAAACTCAATCATTAATTTACAATGAATAGTATTTTCATGTTGGGCATAAACAAAATGTTGGTAATTTTTCCCACATAGATTGTATCCTGTATTTCTATTATCAAAATATATAACTTATCGATGTTTTTAATTAAATTTTTAATGAATTTTTGTTTTATTTGTATTTTATTGTAATTGTATTTTAAATATTCCATTATTAATATAAATATAATTAATATTTTAAATTAATAACTATAATTGTAGTTTAATAGTTAATAATTAAATATTTATTTAATAAAAGAAAATTAATTAAGTTATAAACAAGAATTTAAACAAAAGTTTTCCCTCAATTAATGTCTACAAATAATATAAGATATTATTATTATAAAAATTAAATACAAAATTTAATGTAAAAATATTGATTGTATGCAAACCTTGAACATTATATTATACCGTAATTGCAATTATATTTTGAAAATTTATTTCTATTTAAAATTCAAAACAATTTTAATATATACTTAACGTTTGAATCATAAGAAAGTTATTCGTTATTTGAAAATAATTGCTAATTATTTTATACACCATTTGCGCCAATCCTTTTGTAATTACAGTAATTTCATACAAACCTATGTTATGTTATGGTAAATATTATAATACATAAATTCCTGATGGTACTTAATTAGTGTATAACTTAATGTTAAATGTAAATTAAACTTTTATTTTTTTGTTCACAACAATTATTATATATTTCGATTCATATTTCATTATTTGTAATGAAATTAAATATATCTATCACTAGATTATTATGGAAATAATTATAAATGTTTACTTAAAGTGTTTACTCATGTTTATAAAAAACTGAAATTTAATTGAAATTAATTTTAAACTATAAAATCATGTTTAATGAATAGCAGAGCAAAATTTTTCGCTGATTAGTCGCCTGTAAATTGTTATCGCATTTATTTTATGCAAATTATTCATCAAAATTTCTATTAAATTCAACAGTAATTTAAAACATGACATCAAATGAAAATGTTTTCATTTAATGTTTCCGACTATCAATCAGTAGATATGAAATTATTTCAAATTAAAACATTTTCGTTTCGTATATAAAATAAAGTTGTGATAACTATTAACACAAAATCATTATATCTATATTTACAGACATTTATTTCTTGGTTAACACATTAGCAAACAAGTGCTACCAAACAAACCAAAACCAACGATGCCGTTCACCTGTACCGATATCTGCAAGATCATTTTAGCCATTATTCTGCCACCATTGGTATGTATTTATAATTAACAATAACAAATGCCAATTCCCATAGCATTTACATGCAATTAAAACACATCCCATTTTCCCATTTACTTGACACCAATATTTGGCAAAACTATTTTTGGTGTTAATTAACCATATAATAAATCACTAATTTATTGCCTTTATTTAAATGATCTAGGGCGTGTTGGCGGAAAAAGGCTGTGGCGTGGACCTGCTCATCAACATCGCATTGACCATATTGGGTTTTATACCTGGAATAATACACGCCCTGTATATTATATTCAAATACTGATAACACGATCGCAATTATTATAATATAAATTGTCTTAAAAATTGTCTTAAAAACTATTTGACATTTTACACAAAAAAACAACAATTTTTTCATTATTTTTTGTCTATATTTTCGTTATTATATAACGCTTTAAATATTATAAATCTTCTATCTTTGTAACAAAATTTTGAACAATTAATTTTTTATTATAATTATTAGCAAAGATTAGGGTGGAGTTTGTTTTTTATTGCCTTTTGCTGATTATACAATGTTAATTGTATTACATTTATAAATTTTACCACTATTTGTTGTGCCGGTGATTTGAATCTTGGTTATATGTTCACAATGATTGCCTAAAAATCATATATTATATCGGAGTTGTAATGAAATT